CTTAGTTGTCAGACTCATGTTTAACAGGCATTTACCCTACTAATAACTTAATGGTAAAGACACAGACCTGTACAGAGGTCTGTGTATTAAATGTACAGAGTGCATACAGAACGAAAATTATTTGCATAGAGCTTACGACAAGAACAGAATTAAATCGTTTAACAGTGTAATGGCAGCAGGGAAAAAGCTGTTGTATAGCCTGGTGGACCTGTTGCGGATGCTGCGGAACCTTTTCCCAGAGGGCAAAAGGGAGAATACGTCATGGTGGGGGTGTGAGGGGTCTCCGATGACGTTACGGGCTAAGGACACACAGCGCTGGGGTAAGATATCCTCAATGGAGGGAAGAGGAGCCCCGATGATCCTCTCTGCTGTCCTCACTACTCTCCTCACGTTCATCAAGTCGGAGGCGCTGCAGCTTCCACACCACACAGAGAGGCAGCAGGTCAGAATGCTCTCTATGGTGCAGTTGTAGAGGGTCATCAGAGGGGGCAGGAAGGCTCTCCTCATCCTCTGCAGGCAGTACAAGAGCTTCTGTGCCCTCTTCACCAGTTATGTGCTGTTCACAGACCAGGTGAGGTTGTCCGTGATGTGCACCCCCCGGAATTTGGTGCTGCTGACCACTTCCACAGCTGAGCTGTTGATGAGCAGTGGAGCATGGCGAGGCCGGTACTTCCTGAAGTCAACGATGATCTCTTTCGTCTTCTCCACATGCAGGATCAGGCTGTTGTTTCTACACCAGCCCACCAGCTGCTCAACCTCCTCTCTGTAGTCCCAGTCGTTGTTGTCTCAACGTTCTGGCCCACCACCGTTGTTTCGTCCGCAAACTTCACGATGTGATTCGTGGTGAACCTGGGTGAACCATCAGAGTGAACAGGGCTCAGGACGCAGCCCTGAGGGGAGCCCGTGCTGAGGGGGATGACATCAGAGGTGTTCTGTCTGACCCGGACTGCTGGGTGTGCTGAAGCCCAGTTTTCCTACCAGATGCTGTGGGATGATGGTATTGAACGCTGAACTGAAGTCCAGGAACAGCATCCGCTCGTGGGTGTTCTTTTCCTCCAAGTGTGTCAGGGTCAGGTGAAGAGCGGAGGAGATGGCGTCCTCAGTGGAGCGGTTTTGCCAGTAGGCAAACTGGAACAGGTCAAATGTTGGGGGGTGACTGGAGACGATGTGTTCTTTTACCAGCCTTTCAAAGCACTTCATGATGATGGAAGTCAGTGCAATTAAAACAGGTGACATGAGGTTTCCTTGGTACTGGAATGATGGAGGCAGACTTAAAGCACGCTGGCACTGTGGCTTGGTTCAGTGAGGTGTTAAAAATGTCTGTGAGTACACCAGCTAGCTGACCTGCACACTCCTTGAGCACCCGCCCAGGGATGTTGTCGGGACCTGGGGCCTTCCTTGGGTTGACTCTTCTCAGAGTCTTCCACACATCGGCTGGGTCAAGGCAGAGTAGGTGGCCAAATGAAGCTTTCAGAAGCATTGCAGCTTGTATGGAAAAGGGCTGGAGGCCTTTCAACAGTCATCTCTGGTGGCACCTGGTGGTCCAAAGTGTGAATAGCATCTTAATGAACTGCCTCATTATCATTGTCTGGAGTTGACAGCTTATTTAACCTCTGAAGATCCTTCATACACATTTGTGACATTATATTTCAGCACCATGGGTCCGTTTCAAAAAGCAGGTTTGTTAACTCTGAAAGGTGGAAGATGCTGAACTTCTGAGTTAGGGAACAGTGTGCAGAGCAGTAAGGAGGGTCTGTCTAGCCTTGAAAGGTTTTTTCGCATGCCTTGCTCATTGTAGGTCAATGATTTGTTAGATTCATTTTAAATTATATTCTCTTGATGACTCAGAGTTGGATTTATAATTATATTTCCTCTTGGGATTTCCCAATCCCAACTGCGTGCCAACATCACTCAGGATGACTCCTGAGAGGGCCTGTGACATAACTGTGGTTTGTGTAGGTCTTCACAATATTGCGACTATTGGAAGCGGACAGTACCCTGTCCTCCTGATGACCTCCTGATGACCACTCCATCCACCTGCCAGCTGTCCAGGATGGACAAGTGAGAGGATCAATTCTCACTTTAAGTCACCACCATCACCACCACAGCAACAATAAAAACATCATGAAAATGTCATTTGCTCTTCTTTATTTCCTACAAATACACATGCAAAAGTTAATTTTTGTATCATTCCAACAGTTAACGGGACTCCCCTGTGACCATACAGCCATCGCTGACTTGTGTTCCAGTATTCCTATTCTCCATATCCTCCTGATCTGGAAAACAATGTAAACCACATTTTTTAATACTGTATCTTCTTGAATTTTTGTCAGAGGGAGAATTCTGTACAGTTCGTTAGCAGGTAGCTGGGATACAGAGGGAGGACATACAGCTGCATATGGATATCACAGAATGACCCTCTGGTGTTTACTGAGCATCTATCTGTGCAGTGGAAGTGGAGGGTTCCTCCTGCTCCTGCCCAGCCACGCTCTGTTAACAAGGATGAGAATGTGTCAACACTGAATGACTGTATTCCTCCTGAATGTTAAGAAATGGGAAGTGAACTATCAGTAACATAACATGTTTCCTTCCTGAATACAAACCTCTTCGAAGCTCTTTTCAGACTGCTTTAAGGAACCTTTGGGAGTCCATCAGCAGGAGTTAATCTCCCCTCCATGCACAACCGAACCGAACCTTCTTTGAGTGTTGTGAAAGACCTGAAATTGAAAGAAAATAAAGTTCTATTGGAAGTTTTTAGTTTGTAATGCTTAACCCGTTTTAAAGGGGGTGGACAGACCATGAGTGGCTCCATCCTGCAGGCTGCTGGAGGGGAGGAGCGC